AGGTATGGGACCTGCACCAGTGGGAGGGAGCTGTGAAGGAGGAAAGGTTTCCACACACTAGAAGCCCCTTTGCGGGCAGCGACTGCGGGTGGTGAAGGGGGAAGCTTTGGAGCTGTGGAGGAGAGCACAGCAACAGGGGTGCAGAGGGCAAAGTGGAGAGATTCCCACATAGAGGATCAGTGCCGACCAGCACTCACCAGCTGGAGAGGCTGGTCTGCTCACCTGCTGGTGTGGGCGGGGCCTGCGAGCTGAGGCTCGGCCTTCAGTCAGATCGCAGGAAGAGGACTGGCGGCATGAACACAGCCAAAAGAGGTTAGTGCATCATGTTTAGCCAGGAAGAAGGCCAGGAAAAAGTCTCGACCCGCCTAAGAAACAAGAGAGTTTCTCTTCCCTCTTTGTTTCCTGGTGCACCAGGAGAGGGGATTAAGAGGGCTGCTTAAAGGTGCTCCAGAGACGGGTGCAAGCCGAGGCTATTAGCGGGATCCCAGAGACAGGAATGAGACACAAAGGATGCTGCTGCCGCTACCAAGAAGCCTGTGTGCGAGAACAGGTCACTATCCACACCTGCCCTACCGGGAGGCTGTGCAGCCCACCACTGCCAGGGTCCCGTGATCCAGGGACAACTTCCCAAGGAGAACGCACTGTGTACCACAAGCTGCTGCAATGAAACGCCGGCCTCTGCCGCCGCAGGCTCACCCTGCACTCCGTGCCCGTCCCTCCCCACAGCCTGTGTGAGCAGGGACCCCGAAACAGCGGCTTCATTAACCACTTCCTGTCTAAGTGAAGAAGAGACGCCCTCCGGCGACATACACACAGAGGCGGGACCAAATCCAAAGCTGAACCCTGGGAGCAGTGCGAACAAAGAAGAGAAAGGGAAATTTCTCCCAGCAGACTCAGGAGCAGCGGATTAAATCTCCAAAATCAAGCTGATGTACCCTGTATCGGTGGAATACCCAAATAGACAACTAATCGTCCCAAACTGAGGCAGTGGACTTTGAGAGCAAGATATATTATTCTTTCCACTTTTCATGTTTTTGTAAGTGTGTATGTGTATGCTTTTGTGTGAGATTTTGTCTGTATAGCTTTGCTTTCACCATTAGTCCTAGGGATTGGTCTGTCTGTTTTTGTTTGTTTGCTTGTTTGTTTTTTGTAACTTTAAAAAGAAAATTTTGTCTTAATAACTATTATTTATTTTAATAAATTTATTTTATATCATCTTTATTTTATTTTATATTATCCTATTTCCTTCTTTCTTTCATTCTTTCTACTTTTTCTCCCTTTTATTCTGAGCCATGTGGATGAAACGCTCTTGTTGCTGCAGCCAGGAGTCAGTGCTGTGCCTCTGAGGTGGGAGAGCCAAATTCAGGACACTGGTCCACAAGAGACCTCCCAGATCCACCTAATATCAAATGGCAAAAATCTCCCAGAGATCTCCATGTCAACACCAACACCCAGCTTCACTCAACGACCAGCAAGCTACAGTGCTGGACACCCTATGCCAAACAACTAGCCAGACAAGAACACAACCCCATCCATTAGCACAGAGGCTGCCTAAAATTGTAATAAGGCCACAGACACCCCAAAACACATCATCAGACATGGACTTGCTACCAGAAAGACAAAATGCAGCCTCATCCACCAGAACACAGGCAATAGTCCCCTTCACCAGGAAGTCTACACAACCCACTGAACCAACTTTAGCCACTGGGGGAAGACAAAAAAAAAAAAAAAAAACAGGAAATATGAACCTGCAGCCTGCAAAAAGTAGACCCCAAACACAGTAAGATAAGCAAAGCGAGAAGACAGAAAAATACACAGCAAATAAAGGAGCAACATAAAAACCTACCACACCTAACAAATGAAGAGGAAATAGTCAGTCTACCTGAAAAAGAATTCAGAATAAGGATAGTAAAGGTGATCCAAAATCTTAGAAATAGAATAGAGAAAATGCAAGAAATATTTAACAAGGACCTAGAAGAACTAAAGAGGAAACAAGCAATGATGAACAACACAATAAATGGAATTAAAAATACTCTAGAAAGGATCAATAACAGAATAACTGAGGCAGAAGAACGGATAAGTGACCTGGAAGATAAAATAGAGGAAATAACAAATGCAGAGCAGAATAAAGAAAACAGAATGAAAAGAACTGAGGACAGTCACAGAGACCTCTGAGACAACATTAAACGTACCAACATTCGAATTATAGGGGTCCCAGAATAAGAAAAGAGAAAGAAATGGATGGAGAAAATATTTGAAGAGATTATAGATAAAAACTTCCGAAATATGAGAAAGGAAATAGATAATAAAGTCCAGGAAACACAGAGTCCCAAACAGGATAAATAAAAGGAGAAACACGACAAGACACATATTAATCAAACTGTCAAAAATTGAAAACAAAGAAAACGTATTAAAAGCAGCAAGGGGATGGAAAATGATATTCCATGCAACTGGAAACCAAAAAAAGCTGGAATAGCAATTCTCATATCAAACAAAATAGACTTTAAAATAAAGACAAGAAACAAAGAAGGTCACTACATAATGATCAAGATATTGATCAAAGAAGAAGATATAGCAATTGTAAATATTTATGCATCCAACATAGGAGCATCTCAATACATAAGGCAAATACTAACAGCCATAAAATGGGAAATCGACAGTAACACATTCATAACAGGGGACTTTAACACCCCACTTTCACCCATGGACAGATCATCCAAAATGAAAATAAATAAGGAAACACAAGCTTTAAATAATACATTAAACAAGATGGACTTAATTGATATTTATAGGACATTCCATCCAAAAACAACAGAATACACATTTTTCTCGAGTGCTCATGGAACATTCTCCAGGATAGATCATATCTTGTGTCACAAATCAAGCCTTGGTAAATTTAAGAAAATTGAAATTGTATCAAGTATCTTTTCCGACCACAACGCTATGGGACTAGATATCAATTACAGGAAAAGATCTGTAAAAAATACCAACACACGGAGCCTAAACAATACACTACTTAATGACAAAGTGACCACTGAGGAAATCAAAGAGGAAATAAAAAATACCTAGAAACAAATGACAATGGAGACACGACAAACCGAACCAATGGGATGCAGCAAAAGCATTTCTAAGAGGGAAGTATATAGCAATATAAGCCCACATTAAGAAACAGGAAACATCTCGAAAAAACAACCTAACCTTGAATGTAAAGCAATTAGAGAAAGAAGAACAACAACAACAAAAAGCCCCGGAAGTTAGCTGAAGGAAAGAAATCATAAATATCAGATCAGAAATAAATGAAAAAGAAATGAAGGAAACGATACCAAAGATCAATAAAACTAAAAGCTGGTTCTTTGAGAAGATAAACAAAATTGATAAACCATTAGCCAGACTCATCAAGAAAACAAGGGAGAAGACTCAAATCAATAGAATTAGAAATGAAAAAGTAGAAGTAACAACTGACACTGCAGAAATACGAAAGATCATGAGAGATTACTACAAGCAACTCTATGTCAATAAAATGTACAACCTGGAAGTAATGGACAAATTCTTAGAAATGGACAACCTGCCAAGACTGAATGACGAAGAAATAGAAAATAAGAACAGACCAATCACAAGCACTGAAATTGAAACTGTGATTAAAAATCTTCCAACAAACAAAAGCCCACGACCTGATGGCTTCACAGGTGAATTCTATCAAACATTTAGAGAAGAACTAACACCTATCCTTCTCAAACTCTTCCAAAATAGAGCAGAGGGAGGAACACTCACAAACTCATTCTATGAGGGAACATCACCCTGAAACCAAAACCAGACAAGGATGTCACAAAGAAAGAAAACTACAGGCCTATATCACTGATGAACATAGATGCAAAAATCCTCAACAAAATACTAGCAAACAGAATCCAACAGCACATTAAAAGGATCATAAACCATGATCAACTGGGGTTTATTCCAGGAATGCAAGGATTCTTCAATATACGCAAATCAATCAATATGATGATCCA